CTAATCAAATGGTGAAAAGAATTTTTTCCTGACGCGAGAGAGGTAATCATACACCGAGGCTTATTCCGATCGGGCGAATAGCAAAATCGTGACAGGGGAGGCGTGAGAGGCTGACCGACCTTACGATTACAGAGACGTGTTTAGAGCGCGCGCCGTGGCCTTAAGGTATCGACATCGTGTTCTCGGCTCGCATTTAGCGCTAAATGCGACTGTCGGATTCTCTCAACTTAACTCGCCCGACACAGAGATTCGATTAAAGCGAATATGCAAGCACGGGATGCAAGCGCGCCATTGTTCGCCGAATGGCTGAGTGAAAGATTTGCGTCGGTGCTCGCCGCGGCTCCGAGATGGAGACGGACGATTCAGGGGGGAAAAAAGTCAAATCGAAAGTAATCGATAAGCGGTCATGGAAATGTCAACCGAACCGGGTAGGCCAAGGGGGGCCAGCTGGAATCCTGTTGTCAGGCCTGTAACAAGACGCGTTGCACCCCCTCGTATCCTTCAACCTCATTTCGCCTCGAAACAGTTTCTTCGCGTAGAAATACGCTGTCAATTTCGTAGAGTCGCCTTTTGCAACTCTCTACTCATTGAGTTAAACTCGAGGGTGAAACCGCTGACCAAAATCTTGTACACCAATGCCCAGTAATTCCCAAAAGTGTCTAGTAATGCCCAGCAATGCCGCAAATTTGTACACCACAACGCCCTCAGCGGTTTTCCCCTCGGTTAAATTTAACACCACAAATTTTAACAGCGTACGCTTTGAGGCCGGAGAACAAACTACTAAATATCAAAGCTGTGCATGGGAGATGCTTTTCTCTATATTCTACCTATATAATATCTATATAAACACATAAATAAATTATGTGAATAATTATTAAACTATTTTTTTTCAATTGTATTCTGTCGCAGTCGTACAGATCAATGAGTGTTACTTTACGTCCAAACTTCTAACGAAAAACTCACCGTTACGATTCTCATACACCGCGATTTCTCTCTGAAATCAATTGCGCGCGATCCCCTGACAATTGAGACTTCGAACAGGATCGTGCGAGACGACGTTTCTCGCGGGCCCGTGCATTCGTAAGCGACGTGACATAATCGCGCGAGACCCCGGCGTTTCGGATCGCCGTCCGCCGATTGCCGCAAGATGCGGCTGTGTGTTCTCCAATCCGCGCCGCGCTAACGCAGACGGAGTTTCTCGCGTCTTCCTTTTCACTACGTCCATCAGCAGCCAGTCAATATGCATATAATGAATGAAGCTGGCGTTTAGCCTCGCGCGAAGAAAAACGCTCAAGCGCAATCGCCACGATCGGCTCGAGACGTAACATACAAGTATGTACGAGCGCGCATTCGGCGTTACCGCACGTTCCATCGTTCGCTCGTTCGCGCGTGTGTTGCATCTGTGCACGCGCGCCTATTTATAGTACAGACACAAAGTGTAGAAATAACTGGATGTCGATACGGCGCTATTAATTTCCCGGCTCCGTACGTTCCGGCACGTCCCGGAGGATCCTCGTCGTTACGCGAGCCCGAGCCCCTTATCTCCGTGATACATTGACTTGGCCCGCATTAGCATTCGCGGCTTGCATTTTCCACTGCGCGCAATGAATGTCCGAGGCGGGTATAACGTGTGTCCACGTTTTTCCGCTGTTAGATCTCGCGTTACCGCGAAGACCGCCGTTCGGATCCCATTTACCCGACGGCAATATCGCCCGATTGAAACGCGTGGTAATATAACGTTAGATTTTAATTGCACCCGATGTACCCCGTGCAGTCAGGTGCGTCTAATTAATAATGAATCAATAAAAAAAAAACAGTCGCCGTACTCGAGGCTGGTAAAGCGACGCGACGCTCGGCCGACGATCGCGTCGAGATAGATGGCGAAATGGGAATTATGCGTGGAAAACGCGTCGCTTATCGGACGACAGATCGGTCGCCAATGGGGTACCACGACTTAATCGATCGCCCGGGAATGCCGCTACTGTCGCACACCGAAGGAGGCCGATTTATTACCCCGCGAGAGCGCGCCGTATGGATTTCAGTTGGGGCGTGGAGGAGAAGGGCGAGAGGGAAGGTCTGGCATTCCAGACGAGCGTCCCATTCGCTGCGCCCGTCGACGTCGAGGATGTTGGACTCCTCTCGGCGCGCGACTCGCGTACCAATCCGGTCATTTCTATGTGGAGTGCATCGTGCCGTTTTGCTTCCTTTTCGTTGTTCTTTTCTTTCGACCATCTCGGATCTTCTTGGGTTCGAGTTGCGGGGGAAAGCTTCGCGATTCCGGATGGTTGTGCAACTTTTAATTATTGCGCACTTAATTTGCGATAAGATCACAGATACGCGATATTGAAAGATGAATAAAGTTAGCAAGTCTCGAATAAAGCTTCAAGCATCGACCTAACTGCATACGCTTCTTTCAATCTCGCGGATCTCGACACGTTGTTGCGAAAAACCGTATACAAGATTAAAAGGACGACGGCAAACAAGCGCGGTGCTCCTCGCTAATGAGCCGCCGTGCGCTACACGCGTCTCTCGCGTCAGCACGTGCGCGTGTCGCGGGAAAGTCAGCGGCACGCTAACTGGAAAATTATGCGGGAACCGCCGCGAGATTTACGGAGCCGCTCGTCGCCGACGGCACGCCTCGCCGAAGTGGAACGCGGGGAAAGAGGGCGGATGTGTCAAAGCCGGGGCGGACTCCGGCCGTCCGCGAGGTGGACGGCGGGCCGATTATGCGTCGGCGCGAAATCCGCATTACCGCACGCGCATGTAAGACGCGCGTATTATGCGCGATGGTGCGCGCGCCCGGTCCCCGATCGGCAAATAGCGGAATGTTAGCCTAAGCTCGTTTGCCGCGCGGAGGTATTCGCGCATTAAGGTTCGCTTGCACATATCCGTGACGTGTCCGTTCAGTCCCGCGAATTTCCATCGGTATCAGCGATAATAAATATTGTTTTCCTGCTTTCTAATGGACGTCACAGTCCCGTGTTCGCACCCACAGAAAAAATGTCCGGGCTCAATGCCATTATTCTGGGGCCCACAATTGGTGACCGAATTATTTGGATTGTTCGTAACACTCTAATCTTTTACGAATTTTACCCCGCGTAACCCAAAAGTCGCAACTAGATGAAGTAAAGCCAAATGCTCAAAGTACCAGAACGAACTGGATAAAACAGGCTTTAAGTCTGATACACGAGGAAGAAGAAGAAGAAACAATGGACAGACGTGATTAACCGCCACTGACATATCACGAACATCGCTGACGCGGCACTGATACGACACTGATACGTCACGAATACGTGCAAATGGACCTTTAACCGGAGAGCTCGCACACGTGGCCGTTTAACATAAAAGTTCCTCATGATCCTCGCGTGCCGTGATATACCGCGATTAACTGCATTCGACGCGGTTAATCAGCGACCGTCGTTAACCCCAATTACGGGACGCCGCGAATTAATATCCCGGGCGTCGATTTGTCGCGACTTAACGTGCGACTTGGCGCGCGTAATTATTATTTATATCCAGCAGAGATATAAAGTATTACGTAAGCGCAAAATATATTAGTTATACTGTTACCGCTATAATTCTTCCGCGGCTGCGCGGACGAGATGGAGCGGATAAGGAGGAAAAATTGTAAAACGGCCGCGCTTCAATCTGATGCAATTTTTCGACGTTTCCGCGGGCAGCTTTCCCACGCGGATAAAGTCACGTAACGCGGTCTTTATCGCGCGAATAAATTTCTTTCGTTTTCGCGAGAGAGTGTTTTCGCGGCGCGCGGCGCATCGTAATAACGAGCCCGGGTTCCTACGCCGCTGCGCGTGCATTAGCATAAGCCCGGTATGCGAGATAGCCGAGCGTAGGCGTGTATAGATACGAGCGCGCGAAGCATAAAAGGGAGCAATAAGATCGGAAAGAAACGGCGGAGGTGGAAAAAGACCGAGGACACCGACCGAAAAGGCGGTAAAAGACGGGCGCGATGGAGAAAGAGCGCGAGCGTGAGGAAGCGGGAGTGCACACGGGTGCGCATGGCTCGCCCGATAAGATATGCGCGAAGCTATTTCTGCGGAACGTATACGTTGACGACAGGCGCGGATTACGGTAGATAAGCGGATAAGGGGAGTAACGCGCGAAGATCTCGGGCACCTTCCGCGCGATTCCGATCGCTTTATTTACAAGGAGTCGGGGAGCTTGTACTCGGCGCGCCGCGTCCGAGGGCCGAAACGTCGATACTCGAAAGTTAAAACGATAATTTGCAGTACAAAGTACACGTGCTTATCTCATATTTTTTCCAGGCGTTAAAACTGATCGGATTATCTCCCTCGCGCGTTAGGAGATTATTAAAATGAACGCGCGGATTATCGACACGTACAACGGGGAAAAATGTCCGATTAAATATAATCGGGTGATCCAATTGCATAATAATTAAATTTTATATGCGATGAAAACTGCGATTGGCTTTTCAATCGCGTTTCATCGGATGTGTCGATAATTTAATCGGAAAACGTAATCGGAAAAATTAACCGTCGACACGCTATTTAATTGGTTTATCCGATGAAAATTTTTCTCAGCGTATCATTGATGCATTGCAAAACGACTATGAATAGAGTCGTCAGGTATTCGAGCTTATCTTAATCAAAATGAAACACTTCGACGTCCAGTCACGGCAGCTCGCTATTAGCCTTGGTGAAAAGCCACGAGGAAAAAAAGAGAGGCGATCGAGATTAAACGATCGTACATCATTTTCGCGCAATTGCACTGGCATTGGAATTCAAACGCGCCAGGAACCAGGGTCACGCAGGATTATCTCCTCGCTCGTAAGAACTCGTTCTTGTAAAATATCGGCGCTTTCACTTTCACTTTCACAGATTGCTTTATCTCTAATTGAACTCTCGATTATCGCAGTTTGAATAAAACGGATTAAATCCGGTCGCGCGGCGAGCGCGGTCGCGGCCGCCGGGTTAAATCGACCCCCGGGCGACGCGGGGAGTTAATTCGACGGTACGTACCGAGGCAGGTGATCGAGTGGTCCGCGGGTGGTCGTAGAACGTTTCGCGCCCATGCCGCCCTCAAAACCTCGAGGGCGCAGGGCGGTCCGCCAACCATCAGCACGCCCGGCGACACGTGGCCCTTGTACCTTAGCTGCCGGGTCGCATCCACCAGAGCCGCGTTCCACCAGCATTTGGAATTCGCTTCCAAGAAACTCTGCAACACACAGCAGAATGGACCCTTTACTGCATTTCGTAATGGAAATCTTTATTTGCCACAACTGCATCGGATTATATTAAAAGTGGCGTAGTAAATAATTAGTACTCAATTTTCTATTTTTAAATATTAATTAATACTCATTTCACAGTATTCTTCTATCTCTTTCTTTTGGTTTTTAAATATAAAGCTTGTCCGCGAACGAAGATTCACGACAGAAAGATAATGCTTGCCTTACTGCATTTCGTAATAGAAAAATCTCTGTTAAAATTGTATCAAATTAGATTAAAAGTGGCGTAATGAATAAATAGTACTTAATTTTTATTTTTATTTTTAAATATTAATTAATACTTATTTCGCTGTATTCTTCCATCGTTCCTTTTTCGTTTTTAAATATAAATCTTGTCCGCGAACGAAGGTTTACGACAGACAGACAATGTTCGCGAAATATCGCACGACTGTATAATAACTGTCGTACGTCGTATTTTGCGTTACCAATAAAAAAAAGCCGTTACGCGTCGCGCCACAGGAGCCGGCGAGTTACCCCGTAAAATATTGCTCGGTCGCTAAGTGTTTATCTCTCCGTGGGGCCGTATGGCGTTTCACCCTCGTCGTAACTCGGGAACGAAGCACGATTCTACCCCTATGGACGTTTCCTAGAACCCCCGCGTAGTTACGCGTCCCAGAATGAGCCGTGATAGGGTGGGGCGCCCCGGACGATGCTCATAAACGAACGGCCCCGCAGGATTTTTCTCCAATCCTGTCGTCTCCTTCCCTCTTCGCCCGGCTAAACCGTGAAATTAGTGCGGAGTGCTGGAATCGATCGTCGCGAGTCCAGGGTGATTTATAACAGCTCTCGCTCTCTCGAACGATCAATGCGATCTGTCTCCGCAATCGCGAAAAGTGCGCGGCTTTCTTCTTCTATGAGCAACAACCGCGTACACAAAAGGAGACAAACTCGCCGTGAAAATTTATTGTATCAACTTTACAAATTGATCGGCAATTTCAAGATTACGTCTGCATGGATTGTTTCCAAGACACGTTAAGCATCATTTACATGCGTAGATTACTACATTTTACGCCCAACTCTAAATAAAATAATTATTTTCGACATAGAGCGGTATCTTATTATCATATACAGCAAATACCTCAGGTTAAATCGTGTAATTTGCTAAATTGCCGGTGTAGATGAAACAATATGAGATGATGCTTGGGTGCGTGCAGACGCGATCGTTAAAATTTCACAGTGGCGTCAATTCAAACCACTTTGCGTCTCGCTCGAACGGAAAGACAACGGACGGGGCACCGCCGAGGCAGCGAGTCCAATTTAGTCCCATGTAAAGAATACAATGCGCGCCGCGTGCATAAGACGATTTTGCATCTAACGGCGACGTAAGAGCGTAGGATCTCCGAGACTTTCACCATCCGCAAGTCACCGTATAGCGGAGCGTATAGCGACGGTTACCCGCTACCAAATGACGGAACCTCCGTGTAGCCGCCGCAAATTACACATCCGTGATCGATCTGATCCGCCGCGGGAACGGCCAGCCTCGTTTTGTGCCTGTGCAACGGAGCACGGCGCAAACACCCACCCTTGCCAAGGCTGCGCTCCGTCGCAGACGTACGTTCGTCGTTCGCGGGATCGCCGTTTCTCCCGCGTGGACTCCGGCCCGTACCCTGAATCCTCCTTCATCGATAAAAGCGCCTCTGAAAGTGGCTAATAAGCCTTCTGATCGGCCACAACCACTTCTAAGGCCTGGGCCCACGGTGCTAGAACCTGGTCCAAGTTTCAGTTTCGAGAAATGTGCTGTTATGGAACAGCCGCAAGTTGATTAGCTACTTGTTTCTCGGAACTGGAACTTGGACCAAGTTCTAGCGTCGCGAACACGGGCCTTTAGGGGCGCTTTTATCGATAGAATAGGATTTAGAATGCTGGCCATTGTCGAGAGACTCCCGTCTATTCGCGCACGAAACTTTTACGGTCGCGGTAAACCGTGCCGTCGCGCCGGTTTACGTGACATCTTTTAACTCGACATTTCGCAACCAGCGCGTTCCGTGATTTTTAACTTTAATCGCGAGTACTCCCGTCTCTCGGGGCGACACGCCTCTGAATCACTCCGTCGCGTAATGACGTTACTTAACGTCACGAAACGAAGCGCACTTTCGATCGCAATCGGATTCTTTTATCCTGAGGTATTATTACAATCTCTTGGCGCGGAGGAGCGGCGGCGGCGGCGGCGGCGCAGCGTCGGCTTTCGCAATCGCGCGGCGCGATTACGACATCTACGCGGATTTTCGACACTCCGGCGAGGATGATATTGTAATAAAGGTGCAGCGCGCCTCGCGTGCACGGGGCCGGTTTTATTAAATCGCCTGCGAGGCGCGGACGGCGATTTTCAGCAGGTGAAACTTTTCGGTTACGTCAATGCCGCGCTTCCTCGAGGGACTCGGCGCGCACAGCAGCAGCTACCCACGTGGGGGCTGCCGGCTCCGGTGTGTCGGATCGGCCGAGCGGACACGATCGATTTCACGAGATCGTGCCTTCCACCGATCTCTTTCTCCCGACGCGAGCGGGACACCTTCCACAATCGAATTAACGCTGCGTTTTTTCCGCCCGGTTGAGCACGATAAACGGAGAAAAGCGCCACTTTCGCAATTTTAAGGAAATTCCGTCCGGCTCTTAGCTGTCCCTTTCGTAATCTCAGCCAGGCTTTACGAAAACATCCTGGAAACGCTTAATCACGCTCTAACTGCGCCGACGATCAAGTCTGTCTGTTCTACACGGTGAAAATTATGATTTTTATGATCGCCCGTGTGCGCATAAGATCTATTTTGTACGCACGTTTGTAGGCACGCGAGACCGAAACGCCGGCAAGAAAGTTGCGCGCGTACGTAAAAATATCGCGTTGCATCGCGGAATGTGAATCGGGGTGGGCAACAGGATATGCTGATAACGTAGACGCTCTTATTGTCCATGGGAGGATCTAACCGTGAGAGTGCGACAGTTCTGAGTTAACCATAATTAGCGCTGAACCAGCTACCATGTCTCCTGTATCCAGCCCAGCGGCACGCCAGCCAACTGTGCGAAAAAGAGGGCCCCTGATACGGGGATCGCTAAACGCAAATTGGCGTCGCCGTATTGCGACGGGCGTTACGTCCCGCGAGGTAACACAAGCCCGCGTCCGCGAGAGAATGATGCTTCGCCTATTCTCACCTAATCTGCGGAAAATAACGAGCGTCGCAAACGAACGTGTGCGTTTCGACGAGGTCAAAGTTATATAAAGCGCCTGTCGCAGTAAAACGATTCCGTATTGAATGAACCCGAAACGCCATCCCTCGCGTGGCCCCTACGATTATCTCGTATTTATTCTCGAGAATCTTGTATACATTCAGCCCCCTCTGAACTGCCCGAAAGATTATAAGCCGCAGATATCGAGGGGAATAGCGAAATGTAGAACGACCGGGGACGCCGAGGGTGGAGCATCTGGGAAACATGAAGAAGAGATAACGCGGAATTGGAAAGCAGATTGGAAATCGCGATTTCTTCGGGCGCGCGCTTTTTCACGATATATACGCTCAAGAAAGAGCTCGGCGCGGCGGCGATTCTTCGTTAACTGCGCCATTTGGCGCCGCGAGATTAAAATAAAACCCGTTCGCGTTGCGAGGAGAAAAAAGAAGAAGTAACAAACAACGCGGGGAAATGCAAAAGTATAGAACGAGCCTATTGTTGCACGGCGCACGTAACACACGTACTGCGATTTCCGTGCCGGCAATGAACTTGCGGCAATACGGTCTATAGGGTGTTGTACGGTCGTTGGCTGCCCGTTAATTATTATGCAATATACTCGCCGTGCACTCTCCCGCCGCGCGTATATGGTTATCCATTTAAAGCCCTAACTTGAGACGCCGCGCACGAACGTGAGCGGTTAACGGAGTCGAACGAAATATACCAGAAACTTATTGCCCAGCGCCATTCGCACTGCGGCATTATTGCGCCGCGTCGGGCTTATCGGCCTATCAAAGTCCTACTAGCGTCGCGAGTATAATAATCCGCTGGTACTTATTCGACAACCAAAACCGCTACGTACAGAGTGCTTCAAAATAATATTTACGCTTATACAGGGTGTCCCGGGAGGAAAGGTCAATATTCTGGGAGGTGATAGTATCGGTCAGTTTAGGCAAAAATGTTCATACGAGTATATGTCCCATTCCCCACTGTTTCCGAGATAGAGGTAACTTTATCCGGAGAGATGCGTCACAGGGCTTTGAAAATCATACTTTTAAATGCGTAGTGTTAAATTTAATTCAATGAGTAATCGCTGCTCAGCATATCGTTATTTTTCACTACCATGCGTAGTAAACTTTATTGTTTCAACGGAAATTGTAGTTTAAAAAACAACTACATCCTTTATTCAATCTAGTTTATGGGTGTTTTTTTAATTCCGTTGCTTAATTAAGTGAACGACGCATTGAGTAGACGCAGTGGCGGCTCCACTCATTGAGTTAAATTGAACGTTACAAATTTAACACCAGACCTGGAGAAGATTTCCAAGAATGTGTCGACAATGATGAACAAGTGCACACTCTCTGAAGACAAAATACATTTGATATCACGACAGCTTGCGTTATTAATTCTGTTTCTCTAAAATTACTTCCATGCAAATGCTAACATTTTCTTGAAGCGTATATAGTATCTTGTCTGCATTACAGATATGTGTAGCGGGGCGAGAAGATGATCGAGATGGGCGCAAATTTTACTTCACAAGACGCCACACTTTGTATCGCCGAAGAAAAATCGTACGAGACATTTCAGCCACTGTAAGTCATTTTGCGAAATTGATCTATTTATCAGCTATTACCGGACGACGGGCGTCAAGACGCTCGCCCGCGCCCGCGTCGTTTCGAATTTTAATCAGCAACCCTCTTATAGTCCCGCCTGGGTACGCGGGCTGCGGACATAAATCACGATAACATAATTTATATGCTAATATCGCGAGTGCAGCGTGCGCTCGAATAATACGTTGGGCGAGAGACGCGGTGATCTCTTTTTCTCTTTCTCTCTCTCTCTCTCTCTTTCTAACTGGGCGTAGTTACACATAGAGATATGGACACACATAGGTGTCGACCATTATACACTCTTATTTACCATGTCAATAGAGAGTCAATGGAGACTCGCAGAAAGAACCGTACAAAATCGATTACTCAAAACGTTTTTCCCTAGTGAAATACCATCTCCGTCTTACGAAACATTATAGAAAGGAAAACTTATGAAAATATTAGCTTTGCTATACCTTCTCATATTACAACAATAATAATTATTACGATTGTTATCATTACAGTGGAATTAATCTTTACGTTTTAGGCCTGGTTTCACCAACGTCGCTTAACTTTAAGCCTATAGTTTAATTCGTTCTTCGTCTCTTTCCAACTGTTACTTTAGAAAGAGACAAACGCGACTTAAACTAGGATTAAAGTTACGTTTGGTGAAACCGAGCCTTGGTGTATCAATTCAAAACGCTCATCACCCTTTGAGCAAACCTAACATTTGTGCAAGAATAAATTATCCAAGATTAATAACGTCCACGATGATCTTAAAGCTAAATACGAATAACATTAATATCTACATATCGCGAGGCAGAGAATACGCCCCGACATTTCGTGCCATCGTTAATCTAGGACTCGCGAATGTAAGCGCGACGAGAAGAAGGGTAGCCATCGACGGCACCCCCTCTTTCCCGTGCATTTTTTTGCAATTAAATCGGCAAACAAATAGACGATCGCGCGCGAATTGCTTCGAGGCGAATGGGCATCCCGTGGATAAACGAGTTCTCGAGGCGCGGGAGATAAAAGTCGAGCTGGCTCGTGATATGCGCTGCGTGGCGCTGATTTACGAAGTCGGCAACGGACGAGGACGACGACGACAATCGGCGACGACCGATTCCGCTTTCGACGGCGCGCCGGCCAGGAAAAACGTCGATGAACGAGAGAAGCCGAGAACGAGGTGGCTGAACCCTTGGCCGAACCCTCGGACCAACGCCGAGCCCGACCCGCTCGAACGATACGCGCTCGACTTTATTGTTCTGCTCTAAGTGCCGCGCACTAGTTGCGTTCTGGGTGCCGTTGCACGGTGCCAAGTCGAGCGACTATTACGCTCCGACGATATTCGCGATTGATCGTAATCGAATACAGTTCCGCGCGTGTACGTGGCTTCTTTTCAAACTTAAATTTGCAGAAGCGATACGAGGCTGCGATTAAATGACATTTTTAAGCTACAACGCTTCCGTTAAAGTGGGTTACTGTAATATTCAGTTGCATCGCGGTCGAAAGATGTATATATTTCATTACACACGAAAGTGTTCTCATATCCTGACAGTGATCGATTACAGATATATTTCTATGATCAAGCGGTGATCGATTCCACAAACATGACGTGAACAAGCGTGCGAATGTAACAAACCGATGCACACAAACTACGGTGCCTGTAGTCGTGGCCGAGTAGCACGACGTAAACTACCGTGCTTTTTATCGTCTCGGCGTGGCGACGTGCTCGTGGCGGAAATCGTCACGCGGATGGAAAGTGTCCGCTGGATCGTCGACTGCACCGACCATCCCCGAGGCAATGCGCGATCGGTGTATCGTAATAACAGTGATTTAAAAACGTCACAACGACCGGCCGGCAGTGCACTCGCGAGAGCCGTCGAGGAAGCGTGAAGTACCTTTTCTCGAATGCAGACCGTGCACCTGAAAGGCCTCGATAAATCTTGTAAACAACTTTGCGGATCAAAAGCCGTATCGAACAATGCCCTATTATTTAGTAACCTGATATTACCATGGTAATAGATCCGAATTGCCGTCCGTTCGTCATTGTCGCTTTTCTACCGTAAGAAAAGACGAATTAAAAGCCTTCAGTC